GGTATGCTTTTAGCTACAGATAACAAAATTCTACCCTTGGGGACAATTTACATGTGGAAAAACTTATCTCCTGTCTTAAGAGACTGCAGGTCTGTAGGGAGCAGCCTGGGAGTGGGGCTCCTGGTCCAAGCCTGGCACTGACCATGGCCTCTGGCCTGGCAATTCACTCTTTCCACTGTTTTGGCCTCAGACTTTTGCCTTATGGTCTTACCATGTTGTCACAACTCCAAACATCGCCACCGTGTATTAGAGGAAGGGAGAAAAGGGCACAGAAAGAGTCCATCCCCAGCTAGGACGGGGGAAGGAAACTTCCCAAACACAGCCCCTTCCCCAACTCACCCCGTCTGCCGGGGGTGCAGCCCTAGGCCAGTCACTGACAACGGAAGTGACGCCGCGTTTGTTGACTCAGCCTCCCCGCCGCCTACTCGATCTTTCTGCTGAGAGCATCAACAAACGTGAGTGTCCGCTGCCCCTGCCGGCCGCCCCATCCCGTGCCCGGCCGCGCATTTCTCGCCCCCGCCCCGATTTCCTGCCCTCGCAGGACCAGAGAACTGGATTCCAGACCCGTTTCCACGCCTCCCTCGGCCGACCCCGGGGAAACCGTCTAAGTCCTCCTTGGAGCCTCAGTTTCCAAATCTGACCCATGGAAATGATGATGACTATCCTGCAAATAATAGTAACGGCAGCTAACGCTTCCAGCGCTTTCACTCCGAGCCGAAGCTCCTTCCTAAATTCTTTAGTTCTAGGGCTGGAGCCATAGCACAGAGGGGAGGTTCGATCCCCCCCCCCACCCGGCACCCCAGAGGGTCCCCCCCCCCCAGCCCACCAGGAGTGATCCCTGAGCACTGAGGCAGGAGTCAGCCCCGAGGAGCGCCGGGTGTGGCCCCAAAACAAACAGCAAATAAAATTAAAGCCTTCAGTTCTACAAACCATTTAATTCCTCCCGCACAATGAAACAAGGCTCTTATTCGCGTCAGTTGCAGCTTCAGGTCCCAACGCCGAGACGGGGACGCGGCCCTGGCAGCGCTCCGGGGAGGGGGCGGGGCCTCCCCGAGGCAGCCCGCGCAGGGCGAACTACAACTCCCAGCAGGCCCCGCGACAGTCACTACACTACAATGACCAGCATGCCTCGGGCCAACGCCTTTAACCTCTTCTTGGGCGTTCCAAAGAAAAGTTCCCTTTGTCAGTTTTGCTGGCCAGACGTTCCCCAGGAGAACCGAGGGCCCTACGGCCCTACGCGGTGAACGTTTATGAGCATTATGGAACAGAAGCTTGCGTTTAATTTGTATTTCTTGTTTTGTTTTAGGGCCAAGCCGAGCGGTGCTGGGGGGGTCCCCCGAGTATGGTGTTTTGGGGGTCGCATGGGTGGTGGGGGGGTTTGAATCTGAAGCTCCCGCAGACACTCCACCCAGAAATTCTGTATTTTCATCCCTGTATGTTAGCTTTGACTCTTTTTTTTTTTTTTTTTTTTTGCTTTTTTGGTCACACCCGGCGATGCTCAGGGGTCACTCCTGGCTCATGCACTCAGGAATCACTCCTGGCGTTGCTCAGGGGACCATATGGGATGCTGGGAATCGAACCTGTGTTGGCCATGTTGGCTGCGTGCAAGGCAAAGGCCCTACCCGCTGTGCTATCGCTCCAGCCCCAGCTTTGATTCTCATTTTTTTTTTTTTTCACATATCTGGTTGGGGGTATTCTGTGGCCACCGAGTTACTGGTAGCACCATAGCCTTGCCGGATTCCATACCAGGTACTGCAAGTCAAATAAAATGGGGATATTCTCAAGAGTTTCCACGTCCAGTTGGGAGGATTGAAAGCTGGATAAGGTGACGGCCTTTCCAGTCTCTCTCTCTCTCTCTCGTTTGTTTGTACGAAAAATAAGTGGTTTTTCACCATGTTTTTCAATCTCCATAGCAACCCTAAGAGGTTGCTATTATCATGAGCATGCACGTGCTACACACACACACTCAAAAGGGAGGAACTGATGGCAGGAAGAGATCTGACTCTTGCCCGAATTCCCGCAATAAAATGAATGTGAATGAGGACAAATCCAGAAATTTTTTTGCTTCCGAGGTGAGTCCACCTTTTGGAATCCACACGCTGCCTGCTGCTACTTGACAAATCACACCCGAATCCAGGGCACATGTCCTCTGTGCTCTTCAAGCCTTCAAGGCACACCTGACTTCCTAGATGCACAGAATATTGATGTTGTTATCACTGCGTATGCGGACAGTGATCGGAAGGAGAGCCACGGGCACCCTTGAAAGGCATTTTAGCTGCATTTGACCTGGCTGGAGAAGTCCAAGAAGGCTTCCCTGAGGAGGTGATGCTGGCTTTGGGAACTGAGGAGTGGAAACATCACAGACAAAAGCCTTAGGGAGGGGGAGGATGGGGCAGGTGTTTTGTTTCAGAGGGCTTGAAGAGCCCCTGTTCCTGGAGCCCTTCTGCCAGTCTCTGATGTGCTGACAACTGTGAAGCAGGGGAAGGAGATGAGGCACCCGGGGTGCCAGTTTTAGGAAGATACCCGCTCACAGGACTGTGAGCAATGCAGAGCTGAGACCTTCAAGGAAAGGCCCCAGGTGCTGGCCCTTAGAGCAGGGCTCCGTGCGTGCATGTGTGTGTGTGCTTTCATGCGCGTGCGCGAGTGTGTGTGTGTGTGTGATGGGAGGACGGAGTGTGTGTGTGTGTGTGTGATGGGAGGACAGAGGCACCTTCTACCCTGACTTTTCCCGAGAGTCCTGACACTCTTCCAGACTCGGTGTCTGAGGATCAGCCTTGTTGGAAATCCTCCCGCCATTCGATTCTCAGAGTGCATTTCAGTCACACTTCAGCTGAGCCCACGGCGGCCGTCGGGAGTGTGACCCACGGAGGCAGGCAGGGGTGGCTTCTCCCTTGGAGAAAAGGGCAGAGCTGTGGGACCCCGGAGTGCAGTGCGCCCAGAGCTCCTGAGCACAGAGCCAGAAGTAAAAGCCTCGAGCACTGCCTTGAGGCCTAATCATCACCTGCGTCATCATGATGGATGGAGCGAAGGGCTTCGGGACCGGATGAGGAGCCGGCAGTGGCGAAGGGCTTCCTCTTTCCTCTGTCCCCGGAGAGCTCTGTGATCCTGAGACGGTCCCTTCAGCCTCTCAGCTTCCGGAGGAAGGGCTTCTCAGGGCAACTCAGAAGTGACTGGCCAGCACCCAGACGGTCCAGACCCACCACTGAGGGTGACCTCGGGGCACAAAGGCCCTGCACACCACCAGGCCCAAACCCCAGCAGGGCCCATGGAAAGGTGGGCTCTGAAAGGGGCCCCTTCACTCTCCCATCACATCTGTGTTCTTTTTCTCACTGCATGCCGTGCACTCCGACGAGGGTGGGGGGTCCTCATCCTCAGCACCCAGCACTGCATGGAGCAGGGAGGTGCTTACTGATCAGTACCTGTATGGATGCGTAACCGCACCCACGAGGGTGTGCAGGGTGTGTGTGTGTGGGGGTGCTGGAGTGCGTACCCCTTCCAAGCTGCCCCTGGGTGGGTGGCATCTGCCCCAGCCGAACAAGACCTCCGGCGGCGCTGCAGGGTCTGCTTCTGTCTCCCCAGCCTCTGAGTTTCGGCCTGTCCCGGCTGCGTTTTACACGGGAATCCCCTCCGCCCTCCACGGTGGGTGCCCCGGGGAGGGAAGCCGCCCCCCGACGGGCAGGACAGATCCGTGTCCGCGGCCCTGAGTGTAGCTCGTGGGGTGGGGTGGGGGGCTCTCGAGCCTTCTCCGTTTCTTTACCGACCCCCTCCACAGGGGGTGAGCGGTTCACCGCCTCGGCCACCCGGCGGGCGCTGGGGACACGTGCAGGTGGGGGGCGGCGGGTCCGGGTTGGCTTGTCCCGGGCGGCGGGTCCCGGGTTGGAGGGTCCCGGGCTGGGGCGGCGGGTCCCGGGTCCGGGCTGGCGGGCCCGGGTTGCAGCGGCGGGTCCCGGGTCCGGGCTGGCGGGTTGGGGTTGCAGCGGCGGGTTCCGCTTGGCGGGTCCCGGGTTGCAGGCGGTGGGTCCCGGGTGGGAGGGTCCCGGGTTGCAGAGGCGGGTCCCGGGCGGCGTTGGAGGCAGGTCCGGGCTGCAGTAGCGGGTCCCGGGTTGCAGCGAAGGGTCCCGGGCTGGGGCGCGGGTCCCGGGTTGGAGGAGGGTCCCGGGTTGCAGAGGCGGGTCCCGGGCTGCGGCGGCGGGTCCGGGCTGGCGGGTCGGGGTTGCAGGGGCAGGTCCCGGGTCCCGGCTGGCGGGTCCCGGGTCCCGGCTGGCGGGTGCGGGAGGGCGGGTCCGGGTTGGCGGGTTGCAGTAGCGGGTTCCAGTTGGCGGGTCTCGGGTTGCAGCGGTGGGTCCGGGCTGGGGCGGCGGGTCGGGGCTGGCGGGTCCGGGTTGCAGAGACGGGTCCCGGGCGGCGGCGGCGGCGGCGGGTCCGGGCTGGCAGGTCCGGGTTGGCGGGTCTCGGGTCCGGGCTGGCGGGTCGGGGTTGTGGCGGCGGATCCCGGTTGCAGCGAAGGGTCCCGGGCTGGGGCGGCGGGTCCCGGGCTGGAGGGTCCCGGGTTGCAGAGGCGGGTCCCGGGCTGCGGCGGCGGCGGGTCCTGGCTGGCGGGTCCGGGTTGGCGGGTCCCGGGTCCGGGCTGGCGGGAGCGGGCGGGCGGGTCCGGGTTGCAGCGGCGGGTCCCGGGTCCGGGCTGGCGGGTGGCAGCGGCGGATTCCGGTTGGCGGGTCCCGGGTTGCAGCGGTGGGTCCGGGCTGGGGCGGCGGGTCCGGGCTGGCGGGTCGGGGCTGCAGCGGCGGGTCCCGGGTCCCGGCTGGCGGGTGCGGGCAGGCGGGTCCCGGGCTGGGGCGGCGGGTCCCGGGTTGGAGGAGGGTCCCGGACTGCAGCGGCGGGTCCCGGGCTGGCGGGTCGGGGTTGCAGCGGCGGGTCCCGGGTCCCGACTGGCGGGTGCGGGCAGGCGGGTCCCGGCGGCGGCGGCGGCGGCGGCGTGTGCGCGTGTGCGCGTGCGCGCGCCTGCGCACTGCGGCCGGGCGGGGAGGGGCGAGGACGGGGCCGGCCTGGGCGCGACAGCGACGCAAGATGGCGGCCACCACGGGCTCGGGTGAGCGGGGGGCGCCGGCGCGGGGCGGGGGGGCGGCGGGCGGGCGCGGGGCCCGGGCGGCGGGCGCGGGGGTCTGGGCGCCGCGGGGCTCCGGGGTCCGGGCCGGCGGGGCGGGCGGAGGCGGCGGCGCGGCCGGAAGCCGGCGGGGCCGCGGGGGCCTGTGGGCGGCGCGCGGGGCCGGCGAGTGGACGCGCGGGGACCCCGCGGGGCGCGGGGGGCCGCGGGGGCGGCGGGCGGGCGGGGCGCGGGGGCGCCCCCGAGGCCCCGCGGGGGTCCGTGGGGGTCTCCCCGGGGCCGGGCGGCTCGGGGTGCGCGCGGCGCGGCCTCAAGGGCACCCCCGGGCGGGGACGCGGCGGGCGCCGGGGCTGCCCCCCGGGGTCGCGGGGAGGGCGCGGGCCGCGGCCGGGGACCCGTGGGGGGCGCCCCGGAGCCCTGCGGGAGCTGGGGAGCGTGGGAAAAGGTCACGGCCCGGAGACGGCGGCCCCCGACTGGGGGGTCCTGCCCAGCCAGGGCTCCCGGGGCCCCCCCGAGTGGACACAGGGACCCCGGGAGGGCGACCCGCCTTGGGGTCACCCCGGGTCTGATGCGGGGGGGGTGCGGGACCCCGGCGGCCCCAGAAGCTTGGGGGAAGCTGCCCTTGGCTTGATCTGTTTCCTGCCCCGGCACCCAGGGGGCCCCAGGGAGCCCCTGCTGGGAGCCTGAGACCCAGCTGCCGGGTTCCAAGTCCACGGTCTGCATTGCACCCCTTCTTCCGGGGGCCCATGGGGTCCTCCGGGTGGGGTGACTGGGGGCGAAACAAACAGGGCCCCCGGCTTGGTCCTGGAATCCCGGGTGCTGGAAAGCAGGGCATCAGGAGCCAGCAGGGAGCAAGTCCCCTTCCCGGCTGGGGCTCCCCTCCGTCCACTGGGGAGCTTGCTTGGCTAAAGGGGTGCATGCCACTAGGAGCCGTTGGGTGTGGGGGTGTCACAGCAGCGAGCCCCTCCCTGCGGCTGCCGTCCCCACTGAAAGCAGCCGGGTCTTCCCGCCTGGGGGAGAGACCACCCCCAGCAGCGCCCACCCGGGCCCTGCAGACCTGGGTTTCCGGTGCAGCAGTGCTGAGTCAGTGCCTTTGCCAGGGCTGTGGACACCCGGCTTAGGGGCCGCGACTGGCCAGGCCTCTGGGAAGTGGGGTGCCCTGGGCCCGAGCGTCGTCGTTGGCGCCCGCCCGGTGGCAGCCCAAGCCTTGTTTGCAGTCACTTGAGATTGGCCGCCTCCGATCCGGTTCAGCAGCTACTTTAATTCTCACTTCTCACGGCCCTGCCCGCCAAAGGGTGCTCCTCCTGCCTGCGGGGCGGTCAGATCAGACGCCTCGCTCTCGCGTCTGGGACGGGCTTAGGTAACAGAGGCCCGGCTTGGAGGTGCCCTCCGAGGGGCCTCTCGCCGGAGTATCCGTCCCGGACTCCCCGAGGGCCTGGGGTGTCCCTCCGTGAACGGAGAACAACGTGGACGTGGCCTCTGTCCTCGGAGCTTCCAGTCTAGACAAGTCGTTCGCTGGGGGAGGGAATCGCTTGGAATTTTTCACATAGCAGTAAGTGCTGTGGAGGAAGTTGCCCCATCTGATAAGCTCGTCTGGAGAGGTAATTAGGGAACTCCGCTGTGAGGAGGTGGCACTGGAGCCGAGCAGGTGATGGACGACGGAGTCAGTCCTGCCGGAGTCAGTCCTGCCGTCCTCGCCCGTCGGCGCAACAGGCTGGGCCGGGCCAGCGGTGAGTGCAAAGGCCCCGTGGCCGCACCAGCAGCAGGGCGGGAGACTGTCGTAAATGGCGTTGGCTTTTATTGCGGGTGAAGGGAAGCCGTGGAACAGGCCCCTGGCCTGGCGTGGATGTCCAGTAAATACTTCTCGAATGAAGGGATTACAGGGAGCATGGCAGGATCTGACCTGAGCCCTTGGCGGATAGGCCTCGGCGGGTCGAGGGGCTGAGTGACTGCAGCCTCTGCCGTCTTGCCCCGAGAGCTAGGATGTGGTCAGGGCCTGAGCCGCCCGGGTCTGACAGTCTTTCCCCCGAGTGGGTGGTTGGAGTCGTCCCACAGGGGCCCACTTTCTCTTCCTTCATGGGAAGAGGGTGGGGCCGGGGTGCTGAGGGATCCCCCCCCGGAAAGGGGGGAGTGGACCTGATAAGTCGGGGAGCCCTGGTGTCGCCTCACCGTGCCTCACGGTGCTCCAGGTTGCTGAGCGGTTGTGGCTTCCTGTCAGGAGCTCGCTGGCCAGTGGGACAGCCACATGCAAAGCAAGCGCCTCACCCTTTGTGCCCTTCGCCCGAGGCTGCCACTTTCAACGCTTGGACGCCCCCCCGCCCCCCCCCCCCCCATTTTGTAGTGGTGTGATTTCTGATAGATACTCCAGCAAGATCTTAAGCTTTTTTTTTGGGGGGGGTCACACCCAGCGATGCTCAGGGGTTATTCCTGGCTCTGCACTCAGGAATGACTCCTGGCGGTGCTTGGGGGACCCTATGGGATCCCGGGGATTGAACCCAGGTTGGCCACGTGCAAGGCAAACGCCCCACCCGCTGTGCTATCACTCTGGCCCCAAGATCTTAAGCTTTTCACATTCACGAAACAGTGGTACCGGCCCACGGTGGAAGACCACCGAAAAGTCCTCCAGAAGCCCTCCGGATGCTGTGCTGAGACAAGTGGCGGGGGCTGGCCTTGCCGGGCTCGCAGGACCTCAGGCGGTGGCCCTTGCTCCTTCCAGCATCCGTTGGGCTTCTTGGAGTCAGCCAGGACCAAGTGCCAGAGGGCGAGCCTTTGGCCAGCTGCGATTTTTGATGCTTGTTCACTGCAGTGACCTTAACGTCCGTGTTCAGCTTTTGACGCTCCAGCGTATGGGCGGCGGGGTTCCGTGTCTGGGTGCTGAGAACCCGAGCTCGTGACTGTGTGAAGGTCTAGTACTGACTATAGCTGTGTGTGTGAAGTTGTAGGAAACTTATGGTGGGACCGCTCCCTCGGGTGTGTGCGTGTGGGGTTGTGGGCTGGGTTGCGAGTGCTTGCTGGGGTGTATCTGTGTGGGGGTGTGGGCTGAGTGGGTGGGTGCTTCCTTGGGTGTATCTGTGTGGGGTTGTAGGCTTGGGTGGGTGAGTGCTTCCTGGGGTGTATCTTCCTGGGGTGTGTCTGTGTGGGTTGAAGGCTGGGTGGGTATGTGCTTCCTCGGTGCTCACTGCCGCAGTGACAGGGGGACAGAGGCTCTGTCAGGCCACAGCTACCTACTGCTCCCTGAGGGATTGTCCAGGTTCCTTTGGGCCACGTCCAGCAAGTGCTGGGGTGACTCTCAGCTCAGTGCTCGGGGACCATACTGCGCTGGGGCCGTGCAGACCAGGCAAGCACTGCAGCTCTTGCCGGCCCGGTGCCGTGGCTGTCCTGTTCTGCGAGGTGCGTTCCGGCTTCCTGGGCACCTGTTCCCCCCACCCCCCACCCCACCCCCCCGCCCCGGGAGATCACCGCGGGCAGCGTGGACCCTGTGGGGATCGGGAGAGTGGGGGGGCCGGGAATGCAGCTCCCTTGCTGCAGCCCCCGGACCTGGGGGAATAGAATGAAAGTCTTTTCCTTTTCTTTTTTCATTTCTTTTGGGAGCGAGGCAGGGGCCATGCAGTGCACAGAAGGCTCTGGGCCATTCTCAGCGATACTAGCATTTCAGTGCTGGGGTCCAAGGATGCCAGGTCGTGCCAGTGACCACTGGGGTGCCACCCTGGAGTCGTTTCGAGGCCTTCGGGGCCGCATCTGGAGGCAGTGTGGGGCTGGGCCGTTTGGGTAGGGCGCCATGCGCAACCCAGGTAACCCTGGGCCCTGGGTTACCTTGCTGGCCTGAGACGTGCATGTTCACAGATGCTGTGCAGGGTTCGAGTGTTGGCTCTGGTGAGGGGGGGCCGTAGTAGGGGCAGGACCCTCCACCGCACATGCCTGGGCCCTCGCCTCCTCTGTCCTGCTCGCTCCTCGCACGCCACTCATGGGCGTGGGCTCCCTGGGCCAGGCCCCTCGGCCTCGAAGGGCTTGGGGGTGGGGGGTGCCGACGGGCTCTCCGTGCGCCCTCATGCGTCATCTCGCTCCTCCGCGGCCCATGTGGCGTGTCTGAAGGCGGGAGGACGGCGTGTTGCTACTCACAGCCCGTGACTCAGGGCAGACGGCGAGACCGCTCAGACAGACACACACGCTCCGGCTCCGTTGTCATTTCAGCCTCAGTTTCTCCAGCTGTTGGCTAGCTGTTGACATGTCTGCCTTGGCTGATGATCCGCCAGATAAGATTCCTTTTCACTTTTTTGTTCCTGCTATTTTCGGTTTCTGTCTGGGGGCTTCTCCTTGTCTGGTGCTCACGGGTGGCTCCCAGCGGTGCCGGGGCTGGAGTCCAGGCATCCCGCATGCGGGGCCTGTCGCGGCCCTGCAGCTGTCTCCGCAGCCGAGTCTCCTCGCTCACATGCACCCTGTCACCATGATCTCTGTTTGTGCCAACCCTCCTTTCCAGATCCGCTGTTGGGGCTTCTCGGTCCCGTGCGCCCAGGGGCCGCTCTCGCCCCTGCCGCCAGCCCTTGGGGCCCTTGGGCTCCCTCGGTCCGTGGTCCTGGCCGTGCCCCTGCCGACCTGTGCCTGGGTGGCTCTGGGCCTAGCTGGGCCCGACTGCTGCTCACTCACTGCGTCCCAGCCCTTGGAAGGGCCGTCCCTGGCCACCCCTTTCCCTGTCGCGCCCCTCCTGACAGGCCTGACGTGTCCGGGTCTGTGTCCTGGGCCTCAGGCTGTCCTCGGACCCAGCAGTGTACTGGCTGACGTGCAGTAGGTGGTCAGGAACTGAAGCAGTGGATCCCCACACACACACACCTGGGTGTGACCACATCCACAAATGGGAGGTTGGGAGCAACATTGTGTCCGATAGGGCAGAAGTGGGCACTGGGGCTTCTGCCGAGAGGCAGAGCTGGGGCTCAGGATGGATCCTTTGTCCCCAACCATATTAAGGAAATCTGACCTTTAGCCTGGGT